AAACTTCAGATTTACGCTAATACTCTTAGAAATCATGTTCAGTACTGTATAATAAGGGGCACTTTAGAAATGTCTCTCCTCCTTTGATATATGTGTTTTCCCTATGGAGAAAGCTATATATAAATATATATATGTACACTTTGGGATTCAGACGATCTAATTTGTCCCAAAAAAAAAAATCAATAAATATGAAGTTTACAAGAAATCTTTTCTGTTGTTGAATAATATTAGTTGTTGGTAACCATACCACAGAAAAAGTAGCAAATGGGTTTTCTATATAGTAGCTTTGAGAAGACTTTTCTGTCCTGTCAAGCCTGACTCTGAGCCTGTAGGTTAGTGGAGGTGCTTCCACCGAGAGCAGGCTCTGGGTCCGTCACCTTCAGCGCTGTGCTTCCCGACCTTGCAGCCTGCGTGCTCCCCACGGTTCGTGTCACACTACCAACAGCAAAAACGTGCTCAAAAGCTTGATCTGTGCTTAAAATTTCAGCCAATGCAGTCATGTTTGCCTGAAACGGACACCAGCAGGTCTCTGTGAGCAGAACCCCTCAGGCAGCTACCGTTAGATGGGAAAACACTCTCTTGCTTTCGGAGCTTATCCAGGGTGGCGAGCTGGACCGCGCTGTCCCAGCAGATGAGCAGTTTTGCACCTCTGAGCCGAGCCTGCCCGAGGGAGCCCGCACAGCTGCCCCGGCGCTTGGCAAAGCCGGGTCGGCTGCCAGGAGGAGCAGGCTGGCGGCCAGGCACATCCACTGCTTTGCCTCGGACCGCTTTCCACTCTCACCTGCCAAGTAAGTGCAGGCAGATAGGAATAAATCCAAACTGCTACTTTAAAATTATCCTGAAAAGAGTTCTTACAGCTGACACTTTAGATAGGGGAATGTATTCCTGACCTCACCCATAAAAATTAGCCAGAACCCTGTAGTTTAGCTTAGGAAGGGAAACGACCTGATTTCCCACGTTCTCTGCAGTCACTTGAATGGGGTCCGAGAGGCAGCGGGTCTGGTCGTGCATCCCCATGCATGTGTGTTGGTGTGTGCGGTTGGTGCCGTCTGTGTGCGCTTCGCTTGCCCGCAGCAGGAGTTGGAAACAAGGTGTGTGTGAGACTGTTCTCGCTGAACTCCGCGGTCCGGTGATGGCACTGGCACTGGCCGGTCACCACCTCTTGCTGTCTGGTGTTTGCAGTGGTCCTGGCTGGAGCTGCTGCTGTCCTTTGCTCATCCTCTGATTGCTCAGGATTTCTGAAACCGATCAAAACAGGTGGGGAGGATGAGGGCGAGGGAAGAGTTTAAAAAAGGCAGACAAATTACGGGAAGTCATAACCATTTTTTGCATGGTACCGGGTGGGCAAGCGGTAGGAGTTTTTGAATTCCCAATTCGTGATCTGAGTTTTAAAGCTCTGCTTAGGGCTATGCTCCAGTCCTAGTACAGGGCAAGGGATTGTCTTGGCTGGAGAAACCTTGGTGTTATTCGGAGTATCAGCCGTCTCAGTTGTGCCACCGCTGCTGGGGACACGGTGACACGTGCCAGGCTCTAGGAGCAGCTTCACCCAGGGTTCCAGCCACTGGCACCTCTGGCTTGGCCGGGGCACCATGATGGTGGCAGACGCCGACGGG